ATTCACGGCATTCATATGGCGGACAGTGGGGTCACAGCAGAATTGACTGAGCTTTCCTATGACAAAGGCTATGTCGATTCGTGTACCAGTCATAAGGAACATGAGGCTTCCTATCCGCTTCTGGTATTGTAATTGGTCCGCACGTTCTTCTTCTGGTCGACCTGGTTGGATTGACTCATATCCATCGATGGGGGTGTGGATGGGAGTCGCCTGGTCCATTGAATATTCTTGAAGTACCTTTTCGGCGTACTGTGCTTGTTCAATGGTCAAGGTATGAGATTTCCAGTCACGGTGGACTTGAATGCCGAGGATACGATTGACTGGGCCTGCTTCGGTAGCCTTGAATTCTTTGTGGATTTGATGCTTGATGTGGTCCACAGTGCTTTGTAGCTTGGCTCCAATAAGGATGTCGTCCACATATAGTGCTATGATGGCCATTCCCCCTGGTGATGCTCGAACAAAGATACAGCTATCAGCTGTAGTGGCTGTGAATCCCATTTTCTTGATGGCATGCTTGAATTTCTCGTTCCAGATGCGGGCTGATTGCTTGAGGCCATACAATCCTTTTTGGAGGAGTAGCACCTTACCCTTAGCACTGGTTGCTGATGGATAGCCTGGTGGTAAGGTCATGTAGATTTCCTCATGGAGGTCGCCATTGAGGTAAGCATTGTCAACGTCCATTTGTTCTACCAGAAGGTCCATCATTGCTGCATACGATAGAAATAGGCGTAGCGAGTCAAATCGTAGAGTGGGGGCAAAGGTCTCATGGAAGTCGATGTTTTCTACTTGCGTGAACCCTCTAGCAACGAGTCTGGCCTTGAACTTGTTGATAGTCCCATCGCTATTGTATTTGACCTTGAAAACCCATTTGCATGTGACTGGGCGTCTACCAGCCGGTAGGGTAGCGAGCCTCCAGGTCCCTTTGGTGATCAAGGCGATGATTTCCTTGATGGTGGCTTGCTTCCATTCGCGGGCGTTTGGTCCATGAATGGCTTCCTGATAGGTAAGGGGTTCGATTATGGTGTTTGCAAGCTTAGCTTTATCCTTCACACCGAAGTTATTGTAGAACTCATGGGGGTTGTAGCCTGGCTTCTTGGTGCGAGGCTGTCGTGTAGAGGTGGCGGTCTGAGGTGTAAGACGTCGTTCAGTGCGGTCAGGAGGGTCAGGGGTAGGTGCAGGTATGATAGGTTGTTGAATACCAACCTCAGGTACCGTCCCTTGGTTTGTTGTTTCCTCACCACTTGAGGTATCAAGAGTCTCTCCAGCTTCGCGAAGGCCTGGCGGAGATTCCGGTTCACTTTGGCATGCATTTGGGCCACTTGGTCCCGAATCTCCACTGTCATTCGTGTTCTCTGGGGAGTTAGTAGAAACTTCTCCCTCTGCTTGAGAATCCCGTACATCTTCAATTTCTTCGATTCGTGGCGACGGTGTGATGTCCGGTGTAGGCCTCTCATGGTCCTCCTCCTCATCGTCGTCGCTAGATACGGTCTCAATGCTACCCTGAATGAAGGCGTCACTGAGGTCGTTACCGTTCCAGCGAGTGGGGGCGATGTCTGCTCGCATGGAGTTGTAGGCCATTGGGAACGAAGTCAGAGTCATTAGTTGGACTCCCTTGCGGTCCTCATAAAAATGGACATTCGTAGGCCATTCGAATCGATTGTTCCGAGGGTCATAAACCCGGTACTGAGTGGATGAATGGTAACCGGTGTATATCCCCTGGTAGGCCACAACATGTAGCTTACTTTCTCGTTTCTCTTTTGGTAGGTAAACCAAGCATAGACAACCGAAGACTTTTTCGTGACTCAGGTCCGGTTTCTTGTTGAACCATAGTTCGTAGGGTGACTTGCTCCCTCTGCTACCATGTGGTACTCTGTTTTTCAGATGGTTTGCATAGACTGCGGCCTCTGACCAGAAGCTCATGGGTAGGCCTGACTGGCTAAGCATGGGTCTCATGAATCCAATCAACGTCCTGTTGAATCGTTCTGCGATACCATTCTGGTATGGGGTGTAGGTAGTCGTGAATTCCATGGTGATACCTCGTTCCTTGAGTGTATCCTCGACTGACTTGTACTCTCCTGCATTGTCGGTTCTGACTGACACCACTCCTTTTACCCCAGCCGTTTTATCAATCATGATCACATTCCTAAGGATGAAGGCATAGATCTGTTTCTTTGATGTAATGGGCTCGAGGTTTGATTGGTCAGTGGCCTCATCGATGAGGGATACAAACCACTTGCTGCCCCCCACAATGCTGGCCACGGGATATGGTCCCCAGAAGTCGGTGTGCATCCGAGCTCCTGGTACTGTTTCCTTTGGCCTGGGGTCCTTGTTGATCTGTTGAACCATTTTCGTGGAGTCACATGTGTCACATTGGAATCCTTCCGATGGTTTCATTTCCTCTACACCTCTTGCGTAGAGATGTAGGTCTTTTAGGCGATACGCTCCGGTATGGCCCAATCGTTGATGCATTAGTCGAAAATGATCGACTTGTCCTTGTTTCGTAGGTGCAGGTGTGCTTTCATTGGGAGGTCCCGACTCCCTGGAAGCGAATGCTCTATCAGATGTCGATTTGGTCAACTGATATAGGCCATTCCTCGCACAACCCCTTGCTACCGTCTCGCCTGTGGATGTGTTGATGATTCTAACACACATGTTTCCGAATCGTACCTCAAAACCCTTTCGATCCAGTGCTATGATAGATAGCAGGTTACCACCCATTCCTGGGACATACAGAGCATCTGTCATGGTCTGCATGTGGTTGCCCATACGAATTCGGATGGTTCCCCTGCCTGTCGCCATCAACTCGCCTTGATTGCCGAATTCTACTCCTTTCGAATAAGGCTGCAAGTCGGTGAATAGTTCCTTGTTTGGTGTCATATGGCGAGTCGCTCCGGAGTCTATTAGCCAGCTACTGTCTCCTGAAAAGTCTGCTATCATGGAGGAATTCTTCACTGATAGTGCACTGTCTGTAGGCTCTGGCTTTTCCCTAGCCATCCATGAGCCTTCCTTTCGACTGTATGCATCGCTTACATCGCTAGCATCACTGTCGCTGTCTGATTTGTCCGCTGCTGCTGCAGCACGGTCTGAGCGTCCTCGCCCACTACCTTTGGATGTCTTTGAACCCTTTGGTCGATCCTTTGATTCACGATTTCGCCCATCTGAATCCTTCGCCCCATGGTTCTTATCCTTTTCGTCCTTCTCATCCGGACACTCCCTCTCGTAGTGCCCGGTTTTCCCACAGCCATAGCATTCTACCTTGCTCATGTCCCTGGGAGGTCTTTGGCCTGGCTGGCCCTTTCGTCCATTGCGTGCAAGTAGGCCTTTGTCCTTGGCCTGTCTGTCTTGCTCCACGGTCCGTAGGCATTCCACAGCCATTTCGGTGGTGAGATTGTCGTTAATCCCCAAGTTGTATTTGGTCACATCGAACTCACTCCCCTGGCAAGCGTTCATGATTACCGTCGCCATGGTGAGATCGTGTGGTGCACAGGCTGGATTTAGGTCCGTGACTTCGTCCTGTAGGTTTCGTAAATCTGCTACCATTTGATCGATCGTCTGGTCTGCTGACTTGGTGTATCCAAGGAACTTCTGCAACATGATCGGAAGACGTCCTTTGCCACTCATTCCATGGATTCGACGAAGCTTGTCCCACATGGACTTGGAAGTGATGAGGTGGGCGATATGACTCTTCTGATTTCGGTCAACGTTACCCCTGATCAGCGTAGCGATCCACCTGTCCAAAATGGTCCATCGTTTGGCTGGCTCCCTACCGAATCGAGTGGGCATCAATAGTTCCCCTGACACTATTTCAAAGATGCCCCGTCCCTCGAGGAACTGTCGGTGGTCCTGGGCCCATAGGTGGTAGTTCAAGTCCTTCAGAACTTCCATTTTGACGTGCGGTTTGCTGATGAGTCCCTTATCCAGTTCCTCCAACAAGTCGCGAACGAGAATGTAGCCGCTCATGGTGGGTTTCTGGTGTCAATAGTTCTGTCTGCTACATAACAATACTCTTACCTCTACTCTCCGGAGCTACAAGCAACCCCATATATTTGACCTGCACTTGATGTTCCTGCGTGCAGCGACGGCTGGTCAAGTTCAGGTAACTATTCAGCATGTGAAATTGGTCAACAAGATCTCCACAATCCACGAGGTTCTAAGTCAAGACGGCGAGAATCGAGTAGCTGGACACGCATCGTGAGCTTTACCACATTGAGGGATAGAGCTGGCCTGATGCTTGTTGATAGGAACACGAATATGGATTCTGAACAAGGTCTTTCTCTTCCGACTAATTTCACGCTCACTCCTGCTGTTCCGGCGGCAGATCTCAGCAGACTTCTCGACGACACTGATCCGTAGTGGCTCAGCTGGAAGTACCCGTGGTCACCCAAAAGCTATCTCAAAGCAGCTACACGATACGATGGTTCTCACCCATCGATGGAGCCCAGCATCCCAGTATGACAGACCTATGGCTTACACCCGTTGCTTCAATCGATTCTTCACCACAAAGATGTTGGGCTCCATCATCGACCACTGGGCCGAGGTACTTGAAAATAATCGTCCTGATAGCCCGTTCACTACTCAGAGACTCGCCGATGCAACAGTTGCTTCCGACGACACTGTTGGAACAGACCCAAATGTGCCACCCTTCAAGTATTTCATCCTATCGATCGGGTTTGAGCTGAAGAAAGTGCTCCCTGCAGAGGACGTTCAATGGCTTTTCCTGAGAGCACGATCAAGAAGATACAAAAAGGACGTCTGGATGCAGAAATAGTGGTAATGGATGAAAAGTTAGAGCTGGTAACCATCAGCCATCAAGTCGATCGTGTTGTTCCCGGGCTTGGGTTTACGAGGAAAATCAATATGTTGTGACAGCAAGGCATCTATCTATATGAGCGACTTGTGCGGTAACTGTATCAATTGATGTATCATTTCGAGTCCACGTCGATCGCAGCGAGGAGAGACATCATCATTGCGGCTGAAACGAAAGGGCTCTGCGGACTCAACACACGGGACGTAAAAACCAGAAACGAGGATCTGCAACGCCACGAGGAGGCTCTGCTTCCGTGTCTTTGATTCGCGCATCCATAATCATACCTTACCAACCGATACTTTTATCTGTGTGTCCCAGGATAAATCAAGATTGAGCACCTGAGCTCTGCTCTGATACCATGAAAACGCGTGGCACGTGGGTTTTATCTCTTCGAGATGTTCGTCGGAGGCTCAGATGGGTGCATAGGGTTCGATGACCGAATGAATTTGCCGAGAAGGACGTTGCTGAATTTTGAATAATCCACCTGCTCGCTGGCACGATTGCCATTCCACACTGTGAAGCGATTAAACATCAAGTCCATCAATCCTAGGTTCAAAAATTCGAAATTCACGAATTTCCAGCACGAAAATTATCATCCTCGCCACTACAGACGCCTCGCCCATCACAATATACACCAAGGCGCTCCCCCTCGCAGCCACCGCCCTCCTCCTCTCCTCCGCCCTCGCCACTCCAGTACGTCAAGTTAGACAATCAGCAGGCTCATCCCTCCACTTCTCACCCTCACCATCAAACTAACACATCAACAACAGACATCATCATGTCACGGTCTCGGCCCCTTCAACAGCGGCAGTCTGCGAGCTTTTCGCTCGGGCGCAGGACCCCAGACCGGTGATTGTACCTGCGGTTTTGGCTCGATCAACGGGCCAGCTCCGATGGTAGTGTGTAGTGGAAATGTGAGCCCGCCGAATGCGCCGCCAGGGGAAGGAAACGTTGTGGGTGATTGTCCATCCAAACGTTCCTGTTCGTAGACAGGAGGATAGGGATTTTGGGTGTAGCATAGCATCTTCTTTTCGATCAAGTCAATCAAGACGGCCTTCGAGCACGAGAAGACTCGCCCCATCAGTTCTCCCGAAAGAGTGTTCAAATCCGATCGCTCTAAACTTCGCGGATCCGTCAAGTTCGCCGGGCTATTGAGAAGTCCAAGTCATATGCAACAGGGCAAATTTTGCCCCGGCTTATGGTGCTCTCTGGCGCCGAGACCCGTTAACCAGCCGAATCGAACTATAGCATGTTTGCAAGAACTTTTGTAAGGTCCGAAAGATCCTTCGCGAAGACTTCCGGATCTGTTGCCAAGTTGCAACGAACGGTATCTATAAGCGTATAGTGATGTGAATCTTCCATGCACGCCTTTGATGAAGGGGAGCCCGTTCTTTCCTCGTGCTCTGGTCACAATGCAGGTTCTTCGATACTTTGAATCCGTTGGACATGGTTTCATTCTCTTGTGCCATGTACTCGACCCGTTGTGTTAGTCGTATTGCACGTCGTAAATTTTGAGTCTGTTCTTCTTTATCTGCAATCTGTCCGTTCCAAAAACAGCCTCCCAAACAAATGAGAGTACCACAATAACAATGAATTAACAGCGATCACGGAGACCACAGAAAACGACAAGCAGCATAATGACCACTGGGAAGTCCAGTTTAAGTCTACATACTTCACTCCTAGAAAAGCCACATTAAGCCATCCCGATAGGCATCCACCTCATCCACCCAAGCCTCCGGCGAACCATATTCTCAACCTGAACGACCAGCTCCACGCAGACTCATCTGCTGGAATGCCGTGCCCAAATCTATCCCCCCAAACATCGTCTCACGCGCCATCTTCCCCACCGTCTCATCAAACGTCTCATCCTCTCCGATGCAAATCTTATAGGAAACCCTCGCATATTCCTCCGCCTCTTTGCACAGATGCGGCGCAACATTTCCCCACGCAGTCCACAGGTGCGTCCAGGTTTCGATCACTTCATCCGTCGTGAGACCCCACTGTAGGACTTTGAACGAGGAGGAGTTGGGAGAATCAGGAGATTGGTGGGTGATGACGAAACCGAGAGAAGTCAGGACTTTGAATGCGGTTTGGATAACGTTTTGGGATTTGTTCTGGAGGGCGTAGATGCGGGTGAGGAGGAGGTACGGGTCCCCTAGTTCGAGACGTGGAATGTCCTTGGCAGGTGCGGAATAGGTCTTCTCGATCGCAGCGAGCAGTCTTTCCGCTTTTGGCAAATCACATCCACCAGGTGTTAGGAATGTTGCCCTGAGATCTTGCAACAGCGCGTTCCTCCTGACGCGTATCTTCTTGACCGTCTTCTTGTCCTGCTGACACAAGACACAAGAGCATTGAAAGCCCCAATTCTGCAGCTTGTGCTGCGCCTTTTCCCACGTGCGACCGACTTCGGGGGCGGCGTACCAGAAGAATATTTCACTATTTGCTGGAATGGCCCTCGCGGCACGCACGATGATCATGTCTCCGATGAAGCTGCGGCGAGCATTCATGTAGCAGCTGTGGTTGATGTGAGAAGCTTTGATGAAGATGCCAGTGGTATGGTAGGATGTTTCCCGCTCTTGCTGCTCGGGTGATTGGGACCTGAAATGATCTTGCAGAGTGGTTCGAGGGCAACCGAAGACATTGAGGGCGATGATTTGCTCGATTAAGAAGCTAGAGGAAAATATTAGTGGTGAACGGGGAGAGGTAGTGGTCAAAGGTCTTACGTATCAACAATTGGTGAACCGTCGACCTCTGTCTCTCTGACTGGCTTGTAATCACCATGATGCAAAGCAGTGAAAGATGGCATCAGAGAAGGATTCCGCAACATTTTCTGCACGGTAGCTGTGATGAGACTGGCCTGCGTGCCCATGGTCCCTCGCTTCGTGTGCGTATTCATCAGCATACTTGTTTTGGAAGAAATCGCGCGTTCCTCTTTGCTAGCAAAACAATAGGAGAAAGCTTTCTCGCAGAGCAGCAGCTCCCCAGCGACAACAGCTCTCGTGGTAAAGAGTCCTCGTCCACGACCCTCGGAGGTTTTGATGGCTACAGGTCCAGCGTATGTTGCGGTGTCAAGATAAGGTGGGGTCTCCTCAGCCGCCTTGTACATGACGTTGAAATCGTATTCGCCGATTTCCTGCTCAGCGAGTCGCTTCTCCGTCCGCAACAGCTGCGCTTTAGCTTCCGCGTTGTTCGGGTAGTTGTCCAGAAGAGTTGTGAGCGTTTCACGGCAGTCCTGGAACCTCTGCAGCTCATATAGAGAGCAAGCGGCACGGTATACGCCCTTTTCCGACACCTTATACTCTCTTGAAAGGTTGGTAGCGTCCGCTAATGCGTCGTCGTACCGACGCAGCTTGAGGTTAGCAAAAGAGCGATTCAGCTTAATGGTCTGGATTTCTTCGGTTGTTGCCGCGCAGTGGAGTCCTTTTGTGTAACTAGCTCAGTAGAGCGTGGTCAGCAAGCACTACAATGGAAAACAAACTCATAGCGTACCATCTGACTGCCTTGTTCAAATTGCGAGCTTTCAACGCAGCATTGCCTTCCTCTTTCATCTCCTTTGCAGCCTTGTCAACCTCACTGATGCGAGGTGCCCAGCGTTGAGGAATTCTATCATCATCTTGAGCGAGCCAGAGGACATCAGTGACGTGATCGACGCGAAGGCCATACTCGCCACTTCCCATCGTCTTGAAATATGGCTCTTTGACGATACACACGCCGCCCACCTGCGCAATGTCCTCCGCGAGTCCATATTCTGTATCCTCTTGTTGATACACCTGGAGCAGGACTCCGTTTTCCTTTTCATCCTCCACAATTACCATGACCGCGGTCATCACATTAGGTGGAGTCGCCACCCTTAGCAGAGCGTAGAATCCGCGATGGTGGGTCTCCAATTGCATTTCATCGATATGCAACTTCTTGAGGGTCGGCAAAGGCGCAACGCTTGGCGGATAGGGCTCGCCAACCCACGATTGGTGTATCATGTGTCTGCGATTCATCGTCTTCTGGCTTATGTGCACCACAATGAAATCGTGGATGAGTAGCCCGAGGGGTTTCATATCCTTAGGTCGTTGACCCTTGCGTTTCTTTGCGACCTCAAGCGTCTGCTTCTGCTTGCTTAAGAAGGCGGTGAACTGCTCAAGGCCGGAGACATCGTCGACGTCCATGTTTAAGAATATCAATGGTTATGAAACCTAGGTACGGCACTGGATGTTGAGACGTGAAACACGATTTGATGCTGAGGCAAGGAGACTTGGTGATGAGAGTGAGGCGGAAACTGCTAGGCGAAGCTGTATTCCTTCTACGCATCCTTGAAACGTTGGGACAGAGAAGTGAATGGAAGTGCTCGGGTAGCTGCATTTGCAACAAACGAGCAACTGAAAACATGTGGGGCGCGCTTTTGAGGCGGCCGAGACGATTGGACGAGCAGACACCTTGGCTTGTCAGGTATCGATACAAAAGGGACCGATTATTGCCGTGAACAAAAAGGCTATACGAGCTTCAGTTGCGGGCGTTGATTTGAAGCCTTGTGCGTACTTCACTTCAAATGATGTGCGCCTGCCAGACAAGGCCATTTCGCTTTGCATTGAACATGATATCCATGGAAACTGCCATTTCCTATGATGAAAATGATGAGATTGACAGTTCTCAATCATGGCAGCTGTGTTGGAAATGCTATAGCACTATGTTATAGCTACCCCTCATGGTGGCAATCATGTAGCAAATTAGCATAAGCTTCACATGATATCTAAGTAACCTACATACCACTCCATAGCTAATCAATCCATAACCTTTCTTCAAATTTAATAGGTTATAGGCCCTCGCGTAACTGATATATCAATTTTTATCTATTATTTAATTTCTTAGAGATTATTAAGTTAAATTAAAAATATAAAGTATTAATTAGAATAATTATAAAAGATATTAAGATATTAATTTAATTTAAAAATATTAAATATAAAACTATTTAGATTAGCTCGAAATTATAAAATACTAATAATAATATCTTCGAAAAATATTAGAATAATATTAATTATTTATTTATATACGTTTTTACTTAAAGTATAAAAAGTAATTATAAGCTATTATATAGATACGAGTAAATCTATAAATTAGATTTATAATCTATCTTTTTAATTAGAGCTATCGAGTAATTTTAATAAGCGATCTTTAGTAAGCGATCTTTAATAAGCGACTTTTAATAAGCAATATTTAAATTCCTTATCTTTAAAGAAATATAAGATTAAAATTTAAAATTTCTTAACTTTTAAAAAGCGTAAATTATAATCTATAACTGAAAAAAAAACTATTAATAACTATTAAATTTTAATAGAAAATAGTAAAGTTATTAAAAGGTTAAAAGTAGAAAAGAATTTTTATAATAGTTACGAACGTTAATTTATTTACTTATAATATCTAATTAAACTAAAGAACGAAATAGTTAAGTTTTTTTTTTTTTTTTAATTTTTTTTTTTTATTTTTTTTCTTTTTATTTTATTAAAAGTAAACTCGAATTTATAATTAGCTATATATATAAATTTAAGATTTTCTAATTTAGCTCTATCTTATTCTTTTATATATATTAATTATATACTTATAAGTTTATATCTATAAATTAAATTTATAATCTATTTTTTTAATTATAGCTATCGAGTAAACTTAATAAGCGAACTTTTATAAGCGATATTTAAACTTCTTATTTTTAAATAATTAATAAGATAGTTAAGACTAAATCTTAAAATTCTTTTAGCGTTAAAAAGCGTAAACTATACTCTATAATTTAAAAAAAAATCTTAAAATTTTAATAAAAAATAAAAAAGTTATCTCATTTATAAATAACGTATATCTATTTTTTTAATAAGGGAGCTCGAGAGGGCTAGCGGGCTAACTTAGATAGTCTAGCCAGAAGGCGTAATAACTCTAAATTTATGATTGGCTGCACATACAAATTCAAGGTTTTTTAGCTCAGCCCTACCTTATTCTTTTATATATACTGATAAAAAAGTTCTAGGGAAACGAGCACGGCGATTCACACGACTGGGGCGCAGCCTCCAGCGAGAGGTTCCAGGAGATCATGCAGACCAAACGTGGCCAAATCTGTAGAGATTGACTTTGTTTGGGTTGGACGCCCGCGATAAGAAGGTGAAGGATGCAGATTGTCTCAAGCATCTACAGCCACGTATCCAGATCGAATATCAGCTCGGCGGAATCATGTTGTTGAGGGATGACGCTACTCCTATCAACATCTTACCTCCGTGGATTGTTTGGCAGTGATTGAGGGAGTCTCACCAAGATCATTCATGCTTTAGATTTAGAATAATGATATCCATAGTCTACGACACCTGTCAGATAGTCTCCGCACTTGCAGCACCTCTATGTTGTACCATAAGATTATCCTACAGTCTGCACTGGTGGCACCGCAAACAGCCCTCTGCCAATATGAAGATGCCCCTAGTATTTAGTGAATGCCAAGCCTTGAAACCACATGTGCAATCGCTAATCCCGAGCTCCGGGTAGCAGGGGTGCTTTTTCCCGAACGACTGTTTACTTGCCTCGCCATGGGTTAATTCAATCTAACTGTCCATTGACAACGCAAATAGCTCCACCATGAGCCGACAGTCGAATTTCAGAGACCCAGTGCCCACGAGTAAGAGTAGAAATGACAGGCCTCAAAGCAGTGGAGAGAGCGAGAAGGGCATGTGGTCGTCCATGCTGGACAGCGTTGCCAGGGGGAAGAAGCTGCCAGAGAAAGACTTGGTAGTCCTAGGTTAGTCACACATGCTCATTGAAAAGAGCAGAGGCCGATGGAATGATAGGAGGGACCCCGGACACACAGAAAGAGCTCCTTGAGATCTTGTCCTCTGATGCTCCCAAACGCCCTCAGGACCGGCATAAGAGGAAGCCGGTGATTGCCAATGAATTCGCCTTGGGATATACATATCAGGATGTGCTAGATGCAGATCAAGAAGGTGAGGCTTTTTCAGGCCCTCAAAACTAGAGATGTACAGCTGACAACATCTAGATATACTTGCCAGACTATCAATATACTTCCTCCCTGAGTCTTCGCCTACCTTCGCCCCCCTCTTGAAACCGCTATTTACACCACAATCCATACCAGAGACACTCTTGATCATACTACTTGACTGGAGCGAACCATGGCGTTGGGTTCGGCAAATAAAAAATTGGATTACGATGATACGAGACATTACTTCGTCTCTCGGCGATGCGCCTACGGAGTCAATGGAGCGGACGATGAAAGAGTGGCAGCAACGTAAAAGAGGGATATCGGCATATGATACTGGGAGTACAGGCAACGAAGGCAGTGTGACTCTTCCATTGAGCCAAGGGGAGTGGGATGAGCCGCTAGGGCTGCCACTGTGTGTAGTCTGTCACGGAGTGCGCACTTTCATATACGTCGTTGACATTCTGCTCGGAGGCTGTGAATGAGGCTAATGGGGCGTGTAAACAGGCAGATAAGGTCGATGCCCTCGAAGTGGAGCACGGCTGGAAAGAAGAGGAGTTCGACTTCGTACTACAATTCCTCCGCACCATATTGATGAAGCGTAAGCAACCACAGTAGTAGGCGCTTAATCCAGTTGACGGTTACAGATGGTGCATCCCTAATATACACCTCAACATCCTCCCCAAACTCCCTCCCAACGCTCATCCACTCCACACTAGGCATACATTCTCAGCTAAAAAAGCAAACCCTCAAGCACAACGTAATTGACAGAGACAAAATTCTTGTCCCACCAAAGTGGGATTCATGGGGCAAGATACGCGTCTTACGCGAAGGTTTCGACGTCGAAGGCACAAGCAGCGGGTGGAGTATTGACATTGAAGCTTCTGTCTCTACAGCAGCCAATGGCGATACGGAAACCAACGACGCCGAACCAGACTCTTCAACAAGCCCAAAAGGCGCTGTCCTTCCCACCTACGAATCCACCATCCCTAATCCTCACGCATACTCATCTAGCCAACTCAGCAAACCAGGCATCGAAACATCAACCCCAACAAACCAGGCATTCCTCACAACTCAACTCGAAATTCTCGAAAAGCTAAAGGCCGAGGAGGAAGCAGCCGCTGCTTCCTCCGAAAGGGACCCCAACAGCAGCACATTCAGCAACGCTACCAACAAGCCCCACGACGAGCGCGTAAACGAGCATATAGGCCCCGTACAGGTCAACATGGGAGGTATACAAGTCGATGCTGACGATATGCTTAAGAAGCTCAGAAGTAGGAAAGAGGGAGCGGAGGGTGACAGTAGGACGCCAGAGGCGAATACCGAGAAGGCGAACAAGAGTCCGGATGACATGAAGAGGGAGAACGAAGCACTGAATTCGTTCTTCGCGGGATTGATGAAAAGAGGAGCTAGTGGGACTCCGAGAGGTACGCCGGCGAAGAGGGATGCGAGCAGGGATAGTAGTGGTACGCCAAGTAAGAAGGCGGCTGCCAGGGATTGAGCATGCACAGTTTGAGTGCAGAAATATGTATGGTGCAGGGACTTGACTGCAAGTTGATACCCAGCCCGCGGTTGACGTTGATATGCAATCACAAAGCGAATGAAAGGAAGAGCGAAAAAGTCGATAGCTCTCCAAACGACTTAGATCGGATCTCCTGTATCTGGTCTAGATACTTAATCTCCCTCCTCCTTGGGCCCCCCCTCACGCCTGACTCTCGCTCCCTCTTTCAACTTCTCCCATCGTTCCCTATACCTTCCAACCACGCCCTTCAACTTCTCGTTCTCGCTCCCCATCCTCTCCATCTCTGTCTTTGCCTCACGGATCTGCTCTTCCAATCTTTCCACATTGACGCCCGTGCCCGCTTGCGATGCCGCAGGCGACTGTTTCATATTGGCTTTGATACTCTGATACAACGCAAACGACGAAGCCTGAGCACCCGCTTCGAACTCATACAAGCGCCTCGTGACACTATCGAGACTTAAGCGCAGTCCTTCATTCTCAAGCTGCAGTTCCTCCATCGTCTTATTACTACCCGCCACCTTCGCTCCCGTCTTCCCGGTCCTCATCATCAGCGGACTAGGCGGTCCAGGCGTCTCTCTCGCATCGACAAATTCATCCATCTCTTCATTATTCCTCGTGCCGTCTCTTTCCAGCGTAGGGAAGTTGTGTCGATCTCGGGCTAGTATACTGGCATAAGGCATGGTGCCCCCAGTCACGGGGACGACGTAGAAGCTTTCTGCGGCGCCCAGATTGGTGTTGCCGGGTTCATCGCGGATGGCGCCGAGCGCGGCTTTGGAGAATAGGCGGGAGTATTCGGGTTCCGCGGTGGCGCGGTCGGAGGGTTTGGAGGTTTGCTTGGTGGATTGTGCTGAATCGGCGGGTTGAGGCAAATCGGAGGTAAGGGGGAGACCGGCGAAGGCGAGGGGGGCGGAGAGCTTGGAGAAGAGGGCTTCGAAGGTTGAGTAGAAGCGTTGGAAGGGCTCGTCTGTTTTGGAGGGAGCGGGCTCTTGAGAAATGGTGACAGCCGCAGAGGAGTCCTTGGTAGATAGGGCCTCTGGCATCATCGGCGCTTTCTCCGTAGTAGGAGAGGCTGTTGTCCTTGAGGCTGCCTCTCCGAGCTTCGACCTCCTCGGTGGAGTGAAGACCCTGCCTTCTGCATTCTGGTGGGCTAAGACGGGTGAAGAGGCTTGGCCGCTTCCGTTTCTTCGCTGCTTGTTTGATGGTATGCCACGCGCTGATGCTAGGTTACTTGCTATCGAAGAGCTGATATCGCGCGGTGGTCGATGAGCAGCCGGTAGGCTTTGCGACGCAGGGCGATATGGCGAGACATCCTGCGCTGGTGCGGGGACTGGCGATGAAGGCTGCTGAGGAGCAGGCTTTGAATCGGGAATGGCCTCCGGATTTGCAGTGATAGGATGAGAGTTACGGAACTTGAGTAGCTGAGCGAGCTTCTTGTGGTGTTGCTCCAGCAGCTTGAGAGTGCGAAATGCCTAGCAGTATATTAGCCCTGGAAGATGGCTATAGTGCTGCGAGGCGTGCACCTCGGAGTTGTCTGTGCCTTTCGCAGCAGTTGCGAACTGCCCCGCCGCTAGATCATGCTCGTCGATAGCAGCAGTGTGGGTGTTTGCTTTTGAGGCTTTGCGGGCGTGGGTTTGCGCCTTGAGAGGCGGTAATAAGTAGATGCCCCAAACGAAGCGGACTCTTGAGACCTACCAGAGTCAAGGGTGAAGCGTCCATGACTACCAGATGGCACACGCAGGAGCAGCTTCGAAGAGAGCAAGGGAATAAATGACTGATTGACGGTGACGCGGCTCCGGGGAGCTCTGAAAGAAGCGCGTTCATTCCGCTGCCAAGAAGGAAGACAGAAATCGGTCTCGATTAGAATGGCAGACGCCACTATAAGGCTAACGCAAGCCACACGCGTAGGCTCTCTACTATCCTATTTATAGATTATATAATAAATAACAATCTCGATTAGAATAATAGACGCTATTATAAGACTAAGATAGATTAGATACGTAAATTTTCTATTATCTTTTTATATAGATTAAATTATAAATAATAAAGAAGTTATCGATAAATCGAAAGAGTTATATATTATAATTTTTTACGTATTATTTACGTAAATAACTATTTAACTTATATATTCGCTTTAAATATAAAAAACTTATAAAATTAAAATAGTTAAAATAGTTAAAATTAGTTAAAATAGTTAAATTTAAATTCTTATCGTAATATACTCTTAGAGACTATACTTTTTAAGCTTCTCGAGATCGCTATTAACGATATCTCTAATTTCGAGCTTAAATTAAATTAACGTTAATAAATATCTCTTTAAAGTCTTTTTATCGTTATTAAGAAATTTTATTTTAATAATAAAATATATTCGATATCGAATATAGCTTTCGAATTATAGATTACGAATTATACGTAATTTATAACTTAAGATTTTCTTATAAATTTATAATTTATTAATATAATATAAGTAAAGGTCTATGAATTAAATTTATAAAGTTAGATTTTTCTAAGTTAAATCGAATTTTAGCTTTAGCTCTAAGTATAAATTAAACTCTAATCGCTTACTATACGTTTTTAATCTACTTTTACTACTACGAAATTAATAAAGAAGATAAAAGCTCTAATTCTAAGTTAAATCGGACTCTACTTACTTTCTATATAACATTTAACTTATTTAATTTACTTCTATCACTATAGATCGCTAATTAATTATATTCTTATCTAAGAAAGAAGTATCTACTTAATAATCTTATTCTTAATATACCTCGTCGATCGAGTGAGTTATCTTCTTAATAGATCGCCTAGAGTTATAATTAATAGATCGATCTTACTAATAACTCGACTTAAGACTATATATAGTTAATTATAAGTAAAGATCTCGAGATATAAGTATAAGTCGATCTGCTATAATAACTAACTCTAGATCTTATTAATCATTATACTAAAGATTAATTAAATTGAAAATTAAATACGTTAAAAGGGAGTATATAGATCGTTCGAATTAGGCGGAGTTAGAGAGATACGTAGTATATAATATTATTTACTATTATATTCGTTTTTAAGAATACGATAATCGAGTATCTTAGATCTAATATACTTAACTTATAGACGTATTCTATTATATAGACTTATATACTACTTTAAATTTCTTAATAGTATTACTATATAATTCTATTTTAATTTTAAATAATAGAATAGAAGCGAGGCTAATTTAAAGGTATTTATTATTTTAGTAGATAGAAGAAAGCTATCTTTCTTATTAACGACTTAATTTCTACTATTATAAATAATCTTAGCTTTAGAAAACTTATTAAGAACTTAACTATTAAATCGAGCGATATTCTTATTAAAGATATAAAGAATTACTTTAAATATATAGAAATTAACTATTCGATATAAGTTAAAATTATTATAAATAATATTAATTAGCTAAATAATAAAGTCGTTTAATAATTACCCGATAGATTAATTAATAGCTTCTTATTCTTTAAAGCTTATTAAGATACTATTATTTACATCTAATAGTCTTTAAATAAATTTCTTTATATTAATTCGATCTTAATTAATGAGATTAGAGTTTCGAAGTCTTATATTTTCTATTAACTTAAGAATTTAAATATAATTTTAAAGATAGAACGCTCTTAATATAGCTCGAGTAATATAATCTAACTTAATACCCTTAATAACTAAAAGAATTTAATAAAAATTATCGTAGAAGTATATAACTATATTATTAAAAGGAGTAAGATTCTTTTAAATATCTTAGAGTATATAATCGATAGTCTTAATATTATAGCGATTTTATATAGAGATCTTATTCTAGAAAATAAGCTTAATCGCCTTTAATAATTAAGTTAAATTAGACTCTATCGATATATCGTAATTAGACTAAGTAATAATATTAAAAGAAATCTTAAAGCGAGAATAAGCGATAATATTACTTTAAAGAAGAATAAAGATGATACTAGATAAAGCTATAGCAATAACTACCTTAGAGTTATTTTATACTCTTTACAATACGATATTCTAAAGTATAGTCTTATTAATATCTTTATAGTCATTAAGAAAGAAAAGTTAGCTATTAAAATAAGAGATTATATTTCAAATAGCGTTAGCTATAGTAATTTAATTATTATTAAAACTCGTCTATATCTAATCTTAGATATTAGTTTAATAGCTATATACTTCGCGTAGAAGTCGATTCTAATTATTAATATAATACTATTCGTAGTCTCGCTAAATCGCGAATAGACTAAAGTTAATAATAAGACTAATATTCTTTATAGAATTAATATTATTTTCCTTTAATCGAATTTAAATTAAATAAAGATAGAAGTCTTCGATAACGATTTACTTATATTATATATCGTTTAATAAAGAGAGAATATAGTACTAAGTTTAAAGGATATAAATAAAGTTATTAAATAATCTAAATAAAGAATAATAAGTATTAGTTAAGAAATATATATAAAGTACGAGAAAAGAATTAAATTATTTATAAGTAAAAAAAGGAAAAATACGTCTAGCGCGAAAAGTTTTAGTAGCTAAAAAAAGAATATTATATTAAAAAATATCGCGATATTTTAAAATCACCGTTAGCGCGATAATCTTCTTATTCTTTAACTTAAAGTACTTTAACTTATTAAAGAAATTATTAAGAAAAAATATATCTAGCGCGAAAAGTTTTAGTATATAAAAAAAGAAATATTATATTAAAAAAAGTTATAATATTTTAATATTACCGTTAGCGCGATAAGCTAATTATACTACGCTTAAAGTATTTCTACTCGATAAAGAAGAAATTATCTATATATCTTAATTTATAATTATTTTATAAATTTAGAGAGTTATTAGACTTATATTTACAAATCTAAAAAGTAAATTTCTATACGATTTCCGCCGAGTCCGTATTATAAGTACGATTTAGTACGATTTAGTCTATTAAGTAAACTTTATCTATATCTAATTCTTTTCGTTAATTCTATTAGTTTAGTAACTTTAAAAAATTTTTAGTAACTTTAAAAATTTTACGTAATATACTCTAATATACTCTAAGTACTATTCTATATATATATAATATTAATATATATTATTATTAATATACGTATTATTATACGCTATATTAGAGTATTATCTATATAACTAATTTTATTAAATCGTCTAATTCTATAGTTAAATTTGAGTTAACGTTGATACTTATTATCGTAAAACCTTATCGTTATAATATCGATTATTAGAACTTTTCTTTTTTTATACGTATTACTACTAAATTGATAGAACTAGCGAAAAAGATTAAAATAGTTATTAAACCGGCGGAATTTAAGCGGATTCTAATCAGATTTACTAATCCGACGGATTTTATAATTTTCGCGATAAACGCGCGATCAGCAATTTCAAATTTTGTAGGAACTTTTCAGATTTGCAGATGTATATTATAGTAGAATTATTATAAAGAGATCTTATAAAGCGTATTCTCTCTATTAGACCGCTACTTTATTTAATACTTAATTCTATTTAACGTTATTATAAAGTAAGTCTCTTACTACGTAGATATTATAGTAGAAAAAAAGAATATTATTATCTATCGTATATAAGTCTTTAAAGAATATAAGATTTAATATATTTAGAAGAAGGTATTATAAATAGAAGAGCTTTTTAGCGTTCGAATTAATATAATATATTCTTTTAATAATATCCTTACGCCTCTAACGTAAACTCTATTTAAATATATCTCGCTTATTTTTTTTCTAGATATATTACACTAGTAGATCGATATAGAAGAAATCTTCTACTTATCTTCGCTTTTAATACTCTTAATTTAGTTAAAAGAAAGCTATTAGCTTAATCTAGCGTTTATATTCTATATCGATTATATAAGATAAGTTATCTTTATTATTAAATATTATATCGTATTAATTTAAGAGATAAATAAATAATTATTCGATAGAAGAATTATAATTATATAATTTAAAGCTAAAAATCCTTTAATAGACTTTCGTAAAGCTCACTTATTATATATCTTAATACTTTTAAATCTTATTTATCTAATCTAGCTCTACATTATTCTAATCTATATTACTCTTATACTCTATTCGAAGACTAGCCTAATCGCTATTCTTATAAATATACTTAAAGATATATTAATAGACTTTAACGTTAACGTAGATCTCTATATTAATATAAGTATTATACTTAGTTAATAAATAGAGACTATTCGATAATCGCCCGAAGGTAATAAATGCGATTTCTACTATTATTATTAATACTATTACTCTATAACTACTATATAATCTATACTTAATAATTTAGATTTATTCTATAGACTCTATTTAATTCTTCTTATTATGAAATCGTTCTATATAGTTCTCTTTACGATATAAAGAGACTTTATATATAGTATATCCTCCTCTAGTCTTTAATACTCCTCTATTATTACCACTAATTTCTCTATTAAAACGCCTCTTCTAAATATCGAAACGATATATAAGATACTATCGAATAGTATTTAAATCTTATCAATTATAATTGTCTTATAGTAGTTTTAATAGAGTAGTAATCGGGGTAAAAGACGGCCGAGATCGAATATCTTCTCTATCTTCTTCAACTAATTCTACTACTATCAGCTCGAGAAACTTCTAATACTTCTAACGAAACGTTTCTATTAGTTCATAGAGCTTAAAGATATTTAAAAGACTTTTATTTAAATATCAATAAAGTAA